CCGCATCAGCGCCGCGAGCATTCCGCATGCCCCAAACAAACCGGCCAAAGCTTTGGTCAAGGCGCGCTCCCGCCACCACACCGAGAGTGTACACTCTCGGCCGATGAGAGTGTTCACTCTCATATTTGCTTTTGACCCCAAGGGGTGAGCTCCGTCGAGTCAGGCTTCGGCGTAACCAGTTACATCCTGCTCCGTCAAAAATTAAACACAAGCGGACTCGGTTCACTGGAAACCGCCGAAAACCATCGATGGTTGGAATCTGGAAGCTGCGTTTCATCGTGAAAATGGCATACGCCCGAGGCCAATCGCTATATTCAAGTGATCCCGCCGGAAGGCTAAAAAAATCAAGTTCAGACGGGGAACATTTGCAACTCGATGGCTCCTCATCAAAGCCCTAAGCCCCGAACTATCCATGGTACTCCATCCGGCCGGTTGCTAGCTCTAAGCGTAGAGGTTGGTGAATACGTATAACCACGAAACGAGGATGGTCGTGAGTTTTGGAGATTTACCCTTGGCTCGGCCTATGGGCAACCGAAGCGGTTGACTGGCACCGCGATGCTTCGTTCGTTTTTGATAAAACTGTTAGTCGTCAATTTGGTTCGAATTACAAGTCTTGAGGGCGGGAAGCATGTGCAGAAGATCTTGCTGAAGTGTAATTAGGTATAATAGTGACAAGTTTCACGGGAAATTTATCGTCAAGGGAACTCAGGGGGCTCGACCGAAAGCTTGAGTTTTCGTGAAGAGATGATCATACCGAGCTTGGCAAATCCTCTCGTGACGAGAGTCGTTTTCTGGCTGGGCGTGTACACTCTAAACGGCCGAGAGAGGTTTTCTCCCGGCCGTTGAGGGTGTACACTCTCAACGGCCGAGAGGTTTTCTCCCGGCCGTTGAGGGTGTACACTCTCATCGGCCGAGAGTGTTCCTCCCGGCCGATGAGAGTGTACACTCTCAGCAGCCGAGAGTGTTTTCTTCTCGGCCGCTGAGGGTGGTGCCATCAGCGCCGGGAGAATCCTCCCGCCGTTGCGGGCTCTTTTTGGTAAGCGACACCCAAACCCAGTGGTTTGGGACGTCGACCCCCAACTCCTTCGGGGGTTGGCCTTTTTTTTATTAAAATTACTAGTTTTTCGACTCCCAAACCTGCTGACGGGTTTGGGGGATCGACTCCCATTCCTCGGGGATTTTGGTGGAAATTCCGGGAGTTTCGGGGTTTGGGAGTTGATCCTCCACTTTTTGGGAGTCGATTAGCTAAGACCCTAAATAAACAAACGGTGTCAAATGCAGTTTTCAAGATATAGTCTGCATTTTGATGAAAAAATGATTGCTACCATAAATTTACAAATGTCTGAAATTGTAGGAAAAAGATTAAAATGTCAAAAAAGAATGAAAATTAAGCTCAAGTGAAAAAATGGGTGTAATTGCATTATTAAAAATGAACCATTCATTTTTATGAAAATTGGAATTCACCATAAAATTCTAAATACTCTATAGTGTAGGAAAAAACTTTAAATTTACAAAACAACTTGAAAAATAAGGTAAAAAACTTAATGCAAACAATTAAGTGAAAAAATGAGTGGAAAAAAATTAATAATCAAAAGTCATTTTTATGGAAAATGGTTTTTACCATTAAAGTCTACACCTTTCAAAGTGTAGGAAAAAACTTAAAAATAAAATAAAAACTCAAAAAATAATCCATAAAAAATTAATTACAAAACCGTATGTAAACACGGAAACCACGTGCGCTGTGCCGCAGCAAAACCGTGTGTAAACACGGAAAAACTGTGTTTTTTTTATTAATGCCCTATTTTTATTCTTCTTGTTTTTTGAGATATTTTTTTAGATTTTTGAAGCAGTGAGTATTGATTATGAAATCGGAAAGAAGTTTGAAACATTTTGGGGAATCAAGTATATCTTTGATCAAATTGATGTTGATTTTGATTTTTTCTAAAGTAGAGATCTTCTGAAGTGTTTTCTTTGTAGGTGATATTTTGAACAATAGATTAGAAAGTGCTTGACGTCTTCTGGGGAATTGCAGAATGAACAGTTTGGTGAATCAATTTTTTTTTGATAGAGAAAAGGTAGCTGTTAATCAGGCAGTGGCCAGATCTGAGTTGATAAATAACTGAACCAGCACTTCTTTCAAGATGATCAATTGTTTCAAAAAATTTTGAAGGAGAGGTTTAAAGGTGAATATTGTTGTGGATAATTGATTTTTTGTTCTTCTTGAATTTGTAGTTGGACCAAGCGATTTGTTGGATATTAGAAAGGTAACAGAATTGATTTTCTTTTTGATAGGGAAAGTTGGCTGCTGTGGCGGCTTTTGTGAGTTGATCAACTGTTTCATTTTCCGGGATAGCCGACATGAGCTGGGCACCAATGAAGAAAGATGGGAAT